TGAGAGACGGAAAAGGAGTGGATGTAGAGGAGAAGGGAGGGGGGAGGAACTGGGAGGAGTAGAATGAGGGGAAGAACCCATAATCAGGATTGATTTTGTGAGAAAACAATCTATTTTCAAACGAAGGAAAAAGGTTTAATTCTACCCCTTTTTTTTCTTTTCGGTTTTTTGAGACAGGGTTTCTCTGTGTAGCTTTGTGCCTTTCCTGGAACTCGCTCTGTAGCCCAGGCTGGCCTCGAACTCACAGAGATCCGCCTGCCTCTGCCTCCCAAGTGCTGAGATGAAAGGCGTGCGCCACCACCGCCCCACTCAGGAACAGATTCTACTCTTAAGCCCCATGTGTGATGTTCTTTTTCAAGTTATTCAAGTCTATTAACTGTCCTCCCACTGACCCTTCACTGTGATACATACATTTCCCCTCATGAATGTCGATGTTTCCATCTGAAAGGTGGGATGGTAAGTTCACAGGCTCCAGAGCTATTCCAACCATGGTTCCAGTCAGTGCCATCCTTGTGACTGGCTCTGTTCCCTCGGGCTTGCCTCTGTTTCTGGCTAAACTGTCATTTCCTTTATCTGCAGGGGCTATAATATTATAGTGTGGATATGTGTCTGGACGTAGCAGTCTTGGCCATTGCTCTCCATTGTTCCTTAGTAGTCAGGAGAAACGCAGTTGCAGTTTCACGGGGTATTGGCTCTGGTGCTGGTATGTACAACAGAACACTGGGCAACTGGGAATTTGAAGAGTGTGATATGGATGGTGACTACTTACAGTGTACCTCTCTGGAGAGTGAGAGATGCCTGCTCAATGGAGAATAACTTCCAGGACTCTCGTCTGCACAAACTGTGTGGCCCGTGGTGACCCATTAAAGCCCTGCTCTCCCTCTGTGGCTCATCAGACTGCACTGTTCCTTCCCTGATTCTCTGCTTGCTCTCCAGCTTCACCCAACAGGGAGGGCGGGCAATAGTAACAAAGGCTGTAATTTACGGAGGCTTTCTCCATGCCAGGCACTTCTTTTACTCCAGGGACATTTAGCAAGGGCCTTCTATGTGGCAGGAAGTGGGTCAAGAGCTGGACATGTGGCAGGAAGTGACCTAAGAACTGGACATGATTCAGGGCACCGTTGGAAATGTCAGCCCTTGTGGAGTTTATGTGGTACTGTGGTCTACAGAAATCAACATTGAACTTACTGAATCAACATGCCATGCTGTGTAGTGCAGTAGGAAGCAGAACTTTGCTATCAGGAAAGCAGAGCAGGGATGGGGGATGGGAGGGTGGTTGGGGTGGGTGTTGCCAGTGGTGATTGTTGGGCATGCACTTAAATAGAATGTTTTTAGATTAAAATTGCATCACTTCCTGTCCCCTTGTTTCCCTCCAAAACCTCCCATATACTCCTCCTTTGTTCATTTTCAAATTCATTCTCTTTTTCCTGAATCGTTGTTGTATTCATATATGTATACGTATTCCTAAATGCATAAAGACAACCTGCTCAGTCTGTAATACGTTCCGTTTAGGTATATATTTTCAAGGCTGAGCATATGGTATTAGATAACCTGTTGGTGAGGACCTTCTCTGGGAAGGCCATGACTCCCTGCTCTCAGCATTCCTTAGTTGCCTGTAGTTCTTTAAGACTTCAGGATCCCCACCTGCCACCCCCACCCCGACCCTGTCCATGTCAGCACGTCTTTTGGGGTCATCTGTATTCAGCTCATGTTTATGCGGCCATGTCGGTGGGGTTTTATATATGTGTAGCTTCTGACATTCCCAGGAGGCAAAGCCTGGTCTCACAGCAATCTCCCTGGTCCTCTGGCTCTTACAATCTTTCTGCGCCCTCTTCCACAATGATCCGTGAGCCTTAGCTGCAGGATTTTGGTTGTAGATGAATCTGTTGGGACCTGGCTTTACAACTCTGCATTTTGACTGGTTGTGGTTTTCCTTATTGACCTCTGTCTGTCACAAAGTGAGGTTTCCTTAGTGAGGGCTGAGGACCAGACTTGTCTGTGGGTATGAGGGAAAATACTTAGAAGGTAGTTGGGGGTTATGCTGCTTTTGTAAAACGGCAGTTGTGGCATCTCCTTCAAGATTCATGACCGTGCCAGGCTGTGGAGACTTGCCTAGCTTTCCGGGAGCAGGCATGATTTCTCTCTTTTGAGTGAGTCCTAAGTCTAATTTGAAAGCTGTTGCTTACAGGCAAGGTATGTGTGTCAGTATTACCCCCTTCGGGTTAGCATGCCAGGACAAATACTTTTGTAGTTGTGGATTTGTTTTTTTTTATTTTTGAGATAGGGTACGCTGTCTACATAGCCCTGACTGTCCTGGATCTCACTCTGTACACCAGACTAGGCTGGAACCCAGAGTTCCACCTGCCTCTGCCTCCAGAGTGCTGAGATTAAAGTTTCTCTGTGCACCACCACGCCCGAGCTCTGGCCCAGCTTGCACTTTTAAATGAAGTGTTCAGGGCCAGCCTTACCGAGAACGTCCTACCTGAGTAGATAGATCAAGACAGGGAGGGATCAGGGTGTAAAGGTGTCTGGAGGAATAGTAAAAACAGGAGGCATGAGTACAGGAGAGCCAGGAGAATTTCAGAGTCTGTGACAAGGCACGCAAACACTGTGCTAGGCAGGGGCAGACATCGACTTGGTGGGAAGGCAGCTAACTATAGAAGCGGAGATGGTAGATATTGTTGGATGTAAGGAAAGACTTGGGGTGGAATCTGGAAAAGCTGGTCACCCTGTGAGTGGACACCTAATGCTTTGCTGGACTGGGCGGGGGCACCGGATGTGTGGGAAAAGTCTCCCAAGGACTCACACAGCAGCATGTGCTAGGTACTGGGAGTCAAAGGAGATAAAGCTTGTTGTTCTGATCTGTTTTTTCAGGAGTCAAACATCACTTGCTACATTTGGTAACTCGAAAGCACACCTGGACGGCACAGTTCCCAGCCACCCATCCAAAGCAGCTTTGTCTTTTTCAGTTTACATTAGTGTATATTAACCATACAACGGGCGGCTTTAGTTATGATAGTTCTGTATACGCCGTAGTAGAATCTGGCTGTCTTCACCCTTGTTACTACTCTTTGTTATCCCTTCTCCTCCCCTTTTCCCAATCCCCTCCTATAGCCCCAGTGTTCCTTCATTTAATTTTATGTTCCTTTTTATTGGCTTTTAGGTTACTTTGGATTTTTATGGCTTTCACATGAGAGGAAACGTGATATTTGTCTTTCCAAATCTGGTTTATTTCACACAAGATCCATCGTCCTCCCTCAAACACTGTACTTTCATCCTTTTTGCAGCCAAGTGAGACTGCCTTTGTATGGGTACCACATTTTCCTTATCAATTCATCCACTGACTGGCACTTAGGCTGAATCCATTATGTGGCTTCCGTTAGTAGTATGGATACTCAGCTATCACTGTCGTAAGGCACTGTTGATTCCTTTGCATTCTAGCCATGAGCGTGATGGCTAGACTATGCGGAAGTTCTATTTGAAATGTTTTGAGACACCTCCATAACTGTCTCCATAATGGTCACACTGATTTACGTATCCCGGTGCAAAGCCTGCCTAACTCATTCAACCAAGTCCTGCAGGTGGCCTTTGCTTTCAGTTTTTCCCTCTATGCATATGTGTGGCTGGGGAGGTAGCATAAGCATCTTTGACCACAAATCTTCATATGCTAGTCCAGTTATTTCCTTGGTTTCAAAGGGAAACTGCTGTCATTCCCAATAAACTCCTTTAGTGCATAACCTCTGTGCTGTCACTCTTAGGAACTGTACCTGGGAGTGGTAGGTTGTAATACCCTTTAATGCGGGAGGCAAATGAGTTCAGAGAGGTAAAGATCTTGCCAGGAACCAAATTTTCCTCTGCTAAAACAGTGAGCCTTTCTCCCGTGCATCAACCCTTTCATGCCTGGATCCCAAACCTTCCCCCCACAAATGCAGCCATAGCTAGAAATTACAATTATCTAAACTCTTATAGTGCATGCATCCGTTGAAATCACCCCACTCTGCCCACACTCACACCCCCACACCCGACCTCTAGCCCCTGGTTCTGTCCCAAGAATCATTGTAGCTTCTAGGTGCAAGGACAGGGTTCCGGCACGTGAAAGATGGCCTGTGCCTTTGTTGCTGCTGTTAGCATGGCATTCTGTGCTCTCCAGGATCTGACCCGTGCTACTAAAAGAAGACATGGCCCATCACAGACCAACCTCAATCTGTGTCCAGTGGCTTTCTCCTTGGGTTCATTTTGCTGTTCTCTGGTATTCTATTTGTCTCAGCAAGGGGTGCGAGAAAACCAAGTATGGCCTGAGCCGCAGGTTACACAGAGCACATACTGTGCCCAGGAATCCCCCCGCACATTTACCCCTCTCTGGTTAATGTGGCTGTGGCTGATGGCCAGAGGGGTCCTTTGCAGTTGGATTAGGGGAAGTCTCTTTGATTGGTCCTGTTCTCCTGCCCAAGCAAGTGAGACTGCAACCGTATCACTGTTCTTAAGGCCTAAGTACCAGTGTTAGGAGCTACTGTATTTGTAGAGCCTCAAACCTCAAAGACGTCCTCTGAGAGGAGACTGCCTCAAATCACATTCATGTGGAGGGAGCGAGAGCTTTAAGGAGAAGTTAAAGAAGAGGCTCTTTGTGAAGAGTCGCTTCTAAAGAAACCAGCGGTTTACACTAAGAAGTAGTCATCTGTGGGCTCCCCTTGAAGGAATTCTGTCCTGGGGTTCCTTGTGGCACACATAATCAAGTCCAAGGGAAACCGGGCTAAAACCGGTATTTCAAATGCAAAGAGCTCACCATTTGCTTGTTGATATGTGGGTACCCATAAACAAAACAAACCGAAAACAGCTGCACAAACCAGTTAGAAGCTAAGATTTCCTTTGCTGAAACCATGAGGGTCTCCTTCTGAGATGTGTATCTGTGCATGTTGGTAGGTGCTCCAGGCATGTGGACAGCATGAGCTGTTTTCAATAGACCCTTTCTGTTTCTAATGTGTGCTTTCTTTCTTGGAAAGGATGGAAGAAGATCAGCATTGGGAGAGTTCAAAATCACCCCAAAAGAAAACAAAACTAGCTGAAATCAAGAAAAAGAAACGTGTTAGGTTTCTCTTACCTCACCAAACTGAGAGAAAAAGAAGACCCTCTTCCCCTCGAGATGCAGATCAGGAGATGTTCACATGTGAATGCTGCTACTGTCAGAAGGATGTGGGGAACATGTCTGGGGTCTCCATGGGGACGGGGACCATGACAGAAGCAGCCTCTCATTCACCATCCTGTGAAAAGCTGATACTAGACCTCAGTAACTTGTCACTCAACCCTGATACCACCCAGCCCACTCTTGCGCAAGAAATACAAAAGAGAGAAAAGAACAAAACGCACTGGCAGCAGAAAAGCAAAAAGGTGTTTCAAAGGCTTCTCCACGAATGGACAGAATAACTCTGGCATTGTTATCCTCATGTAAAGAAGATCAGAACCTACAGGATCATGAATGTCAACACCACCAAACCCTAGGGTGAAATCTTTTTGGGAGCATGGTCAGGAGGAGTAAAAATGTCCAGCCTGGTGACAATAATATCTTCAGATGGCGAGTTTCAAACCTATTCCAGAAATGTAACAGTCGTTTTCTTAGTGGTTTTGGCATCCCCTCTGGGGCATTCTGGCAACAGATGCTCCTTGGCTAGGGCAACCAGATAGCGATGGTTCTGTACTCCCCATGCTGTTGTTCCCATGGGGCGATCTACCAATTTCCCCTCCTCCGGTCTCGGCTTTTCCTCCTTTACTTTGTTGCCAATAAAGTTAGAACATCGATGCAGAGTTTCTGGCTTGCTCTTTTCAAATCTGCTTCCATTCCATTTTATTGACTGGAGCCCAGAAGGAGCACTAGGTGTGGTGGAGGGGTGTGTGTGTGTGTGTGTGTGTGTGTGTGTGTGTGTGTGTGTGTGTGTGTGTGTTTATGTGAAATTTGTGTTTCAAAACCATTATAGAGAGAGAAGTATCAGAACATTAGAGCATTCTTCATCTAATTAGTCCCCCTAATATGTTACACAACTATAGTATATCAAAAGCAGGGCACTCACACTGGTAACTGGGTGTGCAGACCTCTCTGTCACTGCATCATATGTGTAATTCATGCCATTACCAGTGCAATCCAGTTTCTTCTCTGTTCCTTCAGAAATATCTTACTTATGCTAGTTCTTATGATGACGCCCAGCAGCAGCATGCTTAAACTGGGACAGACACTGCATTGTTCACTATTTCCACAATCATTTCAAGAATATAAAAGTGTTGGGGCTGGCCTTTTCCACTCACCACCATGCCCTTCATTCTACACGCTTGATTGCTTATATCAAAACTCTATTCTTTGGGAATGTAGCTTTGGGCAAGCTGCTTGCCCAGCATGTGTGGGGCTCTAGTTTTGAATCCCCAGCTCCACACAATAACAACAACAACAACAACAAGAAAACAAAGATGGACTCTCTCCTGCTACTCCTTTTCATTGCTGTGTGCCATACCATGGTCTGGGTGTGCTGTCAGTTCTTTTTTTCACTCATCTGTTGGGCACTTTGGTTTCCAGATTTTGGCCAGCTGCTACAAAGAAAGCTGCCATAAACAGTGGAATGAAAAGTTGTGTGTGTACAGAAGTTTTCAATAGGACGAAGACCCAAAAGGACAATCTCTGGGTGACATGGCAAGATTTTCTTTTGTTTGATTTAAACTACCATCAAAACCACTTGTAAAACAACTCAGGGGGCCACTTGTATGATGGGACACCACACAGCCTTGGGGCCAGGGGAGGGGCTTGGCCTGCCTCTACTAAATGTACTCCACAGTGGGAGGCCTTGCCTTCTTATAGGAGGGAATGGGGGGTGGGTTGGGAGGGGGAGGCTGGGAGGGTGGGAGGAGGGAAGAGGGGGATCTTTGGTATGTAAAATGAATACATTTTTTTTCTTAATAAAAAAATTTAAATTAAATTAAAAAAAACCTCGGGGGGCCTGAGTCGGGCAGTAGTGGCACATGCCTTTAACCCCACCACTTGGGAGGCAGTGACAGGTAGATCTCTGTAGTGGTATTTACTCTGCCCATGACCTTGGGCCATAGGGCCTGAAGGAGGTGGTGCTTCTTGTTGTAGGTGACCTTTTAAAAGGAAAGGGAGAAAGGTCACGAACCCCTTCTCCCTGCTGCCTGCTGCCTGGTCTGATCAAACTGCCAGGTGCATTCATTCCAGGTCAGATCAGAGGATGACTTCAGCTGTCTACTCTGTTCTCTATTCATGAGTGTATTTCCTCAATTCACCCTAAGAAATTTCCCTCATACTCCGTAACCAGGCTCCCATAGATTTATCACATTAGATCTCTGAGTTCCAGGCCAGCCTGGTCTATAGAGTGAGTTCCAAGAGAGTCACGGCTGTTAAAAAGAGATACCCTCTCTCCAGAAAAAGAAAGAAAGAAAGAAAGAAAGAAAGAAAGAAAGAAAGAAAGAAAGAAAGAAAGAAAGAAAGAGAGAGAGAGAGAGAGAGAGAGAGAGAAAGAAAGAAAGAAAGAAAGAAAGAAAGGAAGAAAGAAAGAAAGGAGAAACACAAGGAAGAAAAACATTCAGGGGGCCTGGCCTCTATGTTAACTGTGGACACAGAATATGGACTGTGGAAACAACAACACCTGCTACATATATCCAATATGCAAATGTTTACTGGCCAATTAAAAACACTGGCCCCTTTCCCTTCAATAACGGTTGGAGGATAAACGAGGACAGTATATGGTGTATACTAGAATTTTAGTCAGTAGATTAGGAGTGCAAAAAAAGAAAAACATTCTAGCTAGAGATATAGATCAATTTTGGAGAGTTTACCTGGCATGCAGAGGACTGTGAGTTCAGCCTCTATCAAGACAAAGAAACAAATGAAACAATCCTAAAACTTCATGAAGTAATATACAATCAAGAGTAAAACCATTAGAAGTCATATATGTATTTATTACATCAGAAAACACACACACACATTTCACTGAGGTAACGCACACCCCTAATCTGGTTCCACACACTTGCGCTGCTTTTGCAAATTGCACCTCCCATTTTAGTGGTCTCTGCTGAGTGAAAATCACAGAGAGGGAGACAATTTAAAATGCATCCTAACAAGGAAGAAACATTATTGACTGATGCACTATCTCTTTGTATTTGTATTTGTTTGTGGTACACACACATGCATGTATTGGCATGTGTACGAGTGCTTGTGATTTTTTTTAGGTGTAGGGCCTGGTGAGATTTTCACCATCCACGTTGGTATGCAAACTCATACTGTCATTGTGTAGGCCTTGTTTAGGTGACCATAGTTTCCCCATCAATATAGAAGACAACTTTTTCATCTCAGATGTCCTGGTCCTCTGGCTCTTACAATCTTTCTGCCCCATCTTTCAAAATATTCCCTAAGCCTTTGGTATAGGGGTTGTGCTGTAGATATATTCGTTGGAGATGAGCCCCCCACAGTCAGTTATTCTCAACAATTTCCTGGGTTCTGCATTTCTGTACTAGTCTCTCTCTGGGCCAAACCAAGCTCATCTGTGCATGTAAGGATCCATATTCAGAATGCAGCTGGAAAGTGTCCTGGTCTGGGAAGTAGCAGTAGTGGGCTCCCTCTAGTGCCCAGGACCTCACTGTCTTCTAGCTGTTTGTTTGTTTGTGGTCTTGTCATGACTTGTTTTGTTTTGTTTGTTATTGTATATTGTTGCAGTAGGTTTTAGGATTCGTTTGTTTGTTTATCCTCTTTGTGCTGATTTAAAATTTCTCCACTACAGTATATTTTTATCATGCTTTTACACTACTCCAACTCCTCCCAGATTCATTTGCTGGTGGGAAGACAAATACCATGCCTGATACTTAACTGCTCAGACAGGTGCCAGAACCCCCATATCTCTGGGTGGCCGGGAGACAGCCACCCAGGTTCCTCAAGGCCCTGTCTGGCAACATGCCAGTCATCCGGGGTCTTCAAGGCCCTGATTGGAGGATGAGAATATCCAGGGATTCTCAAGGCTCTGCCTGGCAGGAAAACAGCTACCCTGCCTGATGCTTAACTGCTCAGACAGGTGCCGGAACCCCCATGTCTCCCATTGTCGGGAAGACAGCCTACTCGGGTTCCTCTAGGCCCTGTCTGGGAGGGGTCTTCAAGGCCCTGGCTGGAGAATGAAAGTAACCCAGGACCCTAAAGTCTCTGGCTGGTGGGAACACAGGTATGCTGCCCTATGATTAACTCTTCAGAAAGGGTCCCAGACGCACATATCTCCAGGTGGCAGGGAGACAGCCAAGCGGGGTCCTCATGGCTATTGCCAGTGGGAAGACAGCCACACCTGCCTGATGAATAAATGCTCAGACAGTTGCTAGCCGGCCGGAACGTCCAAGGCCCAGTCTTGCTGAAAGACGGCCACCCCAACCTGAGGCTTAAGGTCTCAGACTCGGCCACCCTCCGGGACCCCAAGGGCCCTTCAGGCTGGAAGATAGACATTCGGGGTCCTTAAGGCTCTGGATAGCCAATAGACAGCCACCCCGGCCTGATTCTTAACTGCTCAGAGGGGTTCTAGCGGTTCCGGAACCCCAAGGCCCTGGCTGGTGAGAAGTGAGCCAGCCGGGGTCATTAAGGCCCTGGGTGGTGAGATGACAGCCACCCAGGGTCCTCAAGGACCTGGCCGGTAGGATGACTGCCACCTCCACCTGATGCATAACAGCTCAGACAAGGGCCAGCTGGCTGGGAACACCAAGGCACTCGCTGATGGAATGACAGCTACTTAGGGTCCTCAAGGCCCTGCCTGGTGGGATGTCAGCCACCCGGTATCCTCAAGGGTCCAGCTTACCTGCAGGCAGTCATGACCACCTAATGTTTACTTGCTAAGAAGGGTGCTAGAAGGCCTGGACTCCCAGGTCCCTGCCTGGCGGGAAGACAGCCACCCAGGGTCCTCAAGACTCTGACTGGTGGGAAGACAGGCAACCGTGGATGATGTTTAAATGCTGAGACGGGGGCCAGGTGACCGGGATTCCTATGGCCCTCCTGATGGGTAGACAGTCACGCAGGGTCGTCGGGGCTTTGGCTGGTGGGAAGACTGCCAGCCCTGCATGATGATTAAATGCTCAAATGGAGGCCAGCCGACCAGCATCCCCATGCCCCTACTGGTGGGATGACAGACACCCAGGGTCCTCAAGGCTCTTGCTGGTGGGAAGACAGGCAGCCCTGCATGATGTTCAAATGCTCAAACTTGGGCCAGCTGACCACGATCCCCAAGGCCCTGGCTGGTGAGATGACAGCCACCTGAGGTCCCCAAGGCTCCCAGTTTGTGAAAGACTGCCACCACTGCCTGATGCTTAACTGATCAGATGGGTGCTAGCTGGCCGGAACATTCAAGGCCAGGATGGCTGAAAGACAGCCACTCCAACCTGAGGCTTAACCTCTCAGACTGGGCAAGCCTGTGGGGCCCCCAAGGACCCATCAGCAGGAAGGCAGGCAATCGGGGTCCTCAAGGATCCAGCTAGTTGGAAGAGAGCCATCCTGCCTGATGCTTAACTGCTTAGATGGGTGCTTTACATTCATGAAACCTAAGGCCGTGGCTGGTGGGAAGAGTGCCACCTGGGGTCCTTAAGGCCCTGGGAGGTGAGATGACAGCCACCAAGGGTCCTCTAGGACCTGGTCGGTAGGAAGACAGCCACCTCCTCCTCAAGATTAACTGCTCAGAGAAGGGTCAGCTGGCTGGCATCCCCAAGGCTTTCAATGATGGGATGACAGCCATCCAGGGTCTTCAGGGCCCCAGCGGCTGGAATGACAGCCACCAGGGGTCCTC